ATGGATAGAAAAAGTCTGATTTTCGTCTTGGTGTTCTGTTCACCTCACACCAAGTCCTGAACCTGGTAATTAAGGTCGATTGGCTGGACCCAAACACATGCTAAGAAATAAGTAAGACTTACCATATCAAATGTATAGGTCTTCCTTGATGTTTTATCAGTCATTCCTCCAGTGCGAACAACAACTTCTTTCCTTGCATGGTCACATTCCACTACAGAGTAGGAGTTAGCTCTGCGCTCAGATATATTGAAGGGCCTTTAAAAACAGTTTTCCATAGGTCATTTGAAATAAGTGTAAGTCTGGTTTCAAATCAGCACGAGAGTTATGAGCCTGTTTCCTTTGCTTTTGTTAGAGTTAAGCTTAGTTGGGATGCATGCAATAAGCATAATATTCCAAAACCACTTTGGAATATGAAACTGGGCTTAGCTAAATTAGATAGCTCTACTTAACAGCATAGCAGCAAGGCAATACTTTGGACGGGATGTGGATTTTTGAAAAACCTTGAATTGGATTTTATATGGAAAGTTTTCCGTGGCAGTAAATTAGCAGAGTGCAGCAGTGTCTGCTGGTGGGTGGATGGGTCAGAATTGGCAAAATGGTGGGTACAACCTTGCAATATAAGCCCTGCGCTTGTTCAAAAGAAGTGTTGCTATCACAGTGCATGTTGTCATGTTGACAATTTTGATGTCTCCCTGTGGACATCACATGAGCAGAGATAGAGCTGAGCATGTTTTTTTAGCTTATATTTTTTAAAAATAAAAGATGCTTGTGAGCTTCTTGGATGTTTCTGTGTATGGCACAGAACATTGGACTAGACCAATGTTTCTCAACCTTGGCAACTTTCAGGTGTCTGGACTTCAACTCCCAGAATTTCCCAGCCAGCATGCTGCCTGGGAAATTCTGGGAGTTGAAGTCCACACATCTGAAAGTTGCCAGGGTTGAGAAACACTGGACTAGACAGACCTTTGGTCTGATCATGCAGAGTTCTGTTTATATTCATTGATAGTAATCCAAAGACAGTTAAGTTCTAATAGGCTTTCGGGGGGGGGGGAGAGAACCATAAGCCTCCTCACTACTTCATAGTACACTTCTTATGTTTTATAATATTTGATCTTCTGATTTTAATAATTGTGTCATTTTAAAACTTGGTTATAATTTTTATTTTAAACTGCTTTGCAAACCTCTTGTACTAGTTTAGTACAATAGTTTACACTGAACTGTAGCCAGATATGTCCTACTAGCAGAGTAGACACTGCCAGGAGAATTTTTTTTTTTAATCAGATGGCTACCTCCCCTACAAATCTTTGTAAAGAACAGATTTGTATTTGGATGTGGGACTACAGATAAAAATACTGTTGCTTAAGCTGGCTATTCCACAACACCCCCAATTTAAAAGCTCTGAACAAATTGTACATGTGTAAATTCTATCTACCTAATCTCTGCACCAACATCCCTTAAAAGTTCAGTTATAACTGGTATAGTTAGGTGACCCAAAAGACACATTCTTTATTTAAGGACATCTGTAACCCATCCAATCAACCAACAGAAGTTACGCAGCACACAGGACTTTAATCAAAAACCTACCAATTATTTACAGCCTAATTATTCTCCTTTTTAAACACTCCTTAGGCCCTCCCTATTTTAGTATGGTTGTCAGTTTGATTCATACACCACCTTTCTTCCAAGACCTGAAGGCAGCTTACAGTGGGATCTTGCTTCACACTACTCCCACAACCACCTTTTATATTAGGCTTGGCTGAAAAAGATTATGGGCCCACAGTTATCCAGTTAGCATACATGCTTGAAGGTGGAACTGAACTGAATCCTAGCCTAATACCATAACCACTATACCATATTGGTATAGCAACTGTTCTGAAGCTGTTCCTGTACAAAGTACAGGTCTATGTGGATCCTCATGGACCTGAGGATAAGTTTTACACATAATCCATTTGAAACTTCAAATCAAGATAACATCCGTCTTTACAGATTGAACTATTTAGTTAAGGAGCCAATCACCTCTGTATGAAAATTTACATCTAAGGCATAAATTGACATGGAACCTCTTATTTTTTAGATGGGATCCACATAAAACCATCAAATCACATATATCGAAATATTACCATAGGACTGAATAATTACAAATGTAATTACTCATGGCACAAAAACTTGGGACCAAGGAACAGCTCTGATGATGTTACATGGGATTAATCTGAAACCACTGTGAAACAACATACGACTTTCTCTGCATATGCTGAACCATTACAGTTACAGATTTGATTATTTTCTTCATGCTGAAAGGCACAATAATGTGGATCCAAGGTGTAGATCCCACTGAATATTATTTAATAAAATAATAAAATATTTATTATTTTATTAAAAAAATAAAAAATAAATAAAATAAAATCCACCCAAAACCACAAATCACAACATTGAAAGACATTTAGCACTTCCATCATGCAAAGTCATGGAACTGAGATAACAGATTTTTGTACATTTTGAAAATCCTTACATAGGGTCCATTTCAAACTAGGATCAAATTACAGATGACAACTATCTTTAACATATCTGGCCATTTTGGGTGTTATCATGACACTAATACTTTCAAAAGATAGGCTACGCATGTACCAATTAATTGCAAAGAAAACCCATAGCTGCAATTACTTCAATTCTGTCCATAGAACATACCACAAACAATTTGATTTTGTACTTCATGATGCCATTATGGTATAAAAGGATGGTTCTTTGGCATAGATCATCAAAAAGACTCACAATTTATAACAGAAGTCTATTCATTTAAAGTATATGTGCCATTCAAAGCAACTAAGACAATATTATCAGCAAAAATCACAGTCACACCACAACAAAGATCTTGTGTTTTATGTTGCCACCATAGTAGAAAAACATACAGTAAATCCTGGGCAAGGCCATCATGGAAACTTTGGATTTGTACATAGATTATTTTGAAGCAAAGATTAAATTATAATACATTTGTCCAAATCCTTGGACTGAATCATAAAAATAACAGATCCAAAATAACAATGCCACTGGGCTACAAAACACAATCATGAGTTAATCTTTAGTTTCCTTGCAACTAGGTATGTGGATTGCATAATAAAAGCATAGATCTGCTACTTATGATATAACCATTTAAAAGCAAGTGTAGTAAAGCATGAAACCACAAAAATTATCTTCAGATTCAAGCTTTTGCATCATGCCAGTGCTCCCCAAAACCAGCAAATTAGTTAGGTTTATGTTTTAGTCCAAGGGCATGGATATGATTTGGGTCTTTTAAAACAGATCCTTATCTATATTAGAAGATTATACTGATTTTTATATTGTGTATTGTTTACCTTGCTCAGTAAGTTACCTAGAGAATAACCGCTGACTGGCAGTCATCTAAATTTGATAATTTTCTGCCCATTCATAATGTAGTCAATGATACAATCACTAGAAAACTTCCAGGTCAATCATGTATCATATAAAGGATTTTTTTAAAAACTAGATACTCCTGTGCCTTTTCATTACAGCCTTCAACAACTATTATTTTAGCTTTCTACATCTTTACTGAGAGTGAGGATGAAAAGAAGTCTGTCATTGGTCCTAATTCAAATATGTCCAAATAAAGAAGAAATGAACAGGAAATAAACTTAATCCATATGAAAATACGTAGCAAGACAATTATTCCCATCAATAATCTTTTGTCAAGCTGAAGATGATTCCGCTGCCCCCATGACTCTGATAAGAAACTAAAAAATGACCCTTTGGGAAACTTAAGGATGCACTTGTGAATAAGCCCTGTTGTTTCCTGTGGAAAGTACTTCTGAATACAAATGAATACGTAGAACTATAGTTCAGGTTGCATGGTAACCAACAGGGGTTTACTCCCACCTCAGTGTAAGAGGGCTGCAGCCATCCTTCAACAATCAGCATTTTGATTTTTCTGATCTCAAGGGCTAGAGGGCTCAAGGGCTCAATTGGCTCATCTTTATAGCATATTCCCCAACATTAGCGGGACGCAACACCATCCTGACTCAAGTCACTTCGATGTCAAGACGCTTGTTCTAATCGTGATCCAATCTGAATCCAGCCCAGGTTTAGAAAATGTCCAGGACTACAATCCTGGAGGTTAATCCTGATCAAAACTGAGTGGGGCTTCCGAGAAAGGACCCACCGGATCGGCGCCTCTTTGGCTCCCCCGCGTTGGATGCCGTTCCCTGCCCACGGGAGGCGACGTCCCGTGAGGACTTACCTGCATCTCACCACCACCTGGATGTTCTTGCCTTTCTCCTCCTTCTTCCCACCGGCCAGAGAACTCATCGTCGGTCCGCCCGGGGTAAAACGAGAAGACAAGAGCGAGGACAGGGCAGAACTAAGCTGGGAAGGGAAGGAGCGCTTTAGCCACAGCGCGCAGGACAGGTAGGAACCATCCGCGTCCTAAACGCACCCGAAGGGATCCCGCAACCCAGTCCCGCCGATCCCGAAACGTCGAGGGAGAGAAGCGCAGCCGCTCCCCCGCGGAAACCGCTCGAGCTACTCTGGCCCTCAGTCAACTTCACGAGAGAAGCGCGCCCAAAGCGAAGCCGACCACTTTGAATAGCTCGCGCTGCGTGCCAGCCAATCAGCGGGAGGCTACGAGACTTGCAGAGCACCATGGGACTTTTTTAATACGCATGAAATCCTAGGCTCCTTGTGACATCATCACTGGGCGACACTAACGATTAAGCATATAGACTGCGGAACGTTAGACGGGTGTCTGAAGATTCTGAGTGGGTTTTGGATACCGTTTTTCTTTCTCGCTCGCGGATTAAGAAGCAGAGATGGGCTGGTTGTGAGCCTCGGGGAAAGTGATTTGGACTTTAGCAAAATGGGTTGGGACTTGGTAGCAAAACAGAACAAGGAAAGGTATGAATCCGTGCCCTTTATAACTCAGAACTTATAGGCGTAGCATTTGAAAACGTGCCGCAGTCAAAAATGCAGCTTGCAATAAATTTCATTCGCCAGACTAGAGTTGCTAAGAATTGCTCAGCATATTGTACTCATATTTGTGTACTTCCATCCAAATATCTTAGGTGTACCTCCCACGGCTGACAAGCATGATCCCTGGCTTTTATCCAAATTAGAGTCCCAAACTTCTGAAGAGAAACGCGCTGCCATCGTACCTATTGGGTTTTGATTAGCGGACCGTGTAATCCAGTGTTTTTCGAATCTGACAACTTTAAGACTTCAACATGCTGGCTGGGGAATTCTGGGAGTTGGTCTACATCCTAAAGTTGCTAAGTTTGAAAAACTCTGCTGTAGCCTAATCCAACTGTGTTTTAAAATGAAGTAATAGGACTTCTTCCCTCGTGTCATGTTTGATTGGTCGTTGCTCTTGCAGTGCTTTACCTTTTGCTTGATAAAATAGAAATTCCACATCAACAAGCAACAAAGCATTTACACCAACAAAGTATTACGTTTATATTTTGTATATTGAGCTGACCTGAGGATTTCATCTCTGCAGCTATCTATGAGGAGGGGGGATTTGTTACTTCTTTGCCATTTGCTGCTTTTTTGTAACAATTGTTTTGAGTAAATATTCAAAAGCTTGCACACTTACAAAAACACTTGACTCAGTTGACCTTGAAAAACTAAGTAAGACTGGATCTAGTTAATTCTTGCATGAGAAATTACCATGAAATTGCAGGGCTGTAGGCTACACTGGAAGCTACTTGGGTGTGACCATGAAGTCACCCGGAGTCAAGCCCAACTTAAGGGAGCCTTTCCCTTTCTAAATGCAAATATCAGTTAATGGATTTTAAATTAGGAGATTGGGAAATAAATTATTCCATGATTTTATGTATCTGCTCAAGAAACTGCAAGCCTACCTAGAGTTTGTTGTGGAGAGTCGCTCTGCAGTGAGATGGGCAGTGACAAATTTGAAACATAAACAAACAAACAAACAAACAAATACATGATAAGCATCATGGGCTTGATGAGGACAGACCACAAGCATCCTGGGAGTTGTAGTTTTAGCTTACCTGTACCATTAGTCATCCAAGGCAGGCAATGAGACAGGAAAAAATAAGAGAGACTATCAAACTGGTTCTTGTATAATGTAATGTCAAAGTTTTCTTGTGCCTGTCCTGTGCCAGATTTCCTTGGTATGTGGAAACGGCTAGCAAGGGAAAGAGAGAGAGAGAAAGAGAGAGAGAGAGATGCAGAGTTTCTGTACAGATCATTAAGACAGAATCCTACCAAGGGGAAAGATCTCTGTTCCCCTTTCTTTGCAGCAATCCAAGGAAAAACTAGAAGTGAATTATATATCCAGAACCCACAGTATTTATGATACATTTAAAAGAGTGATCAAAATCTCACCAAGGCCTGAGCAAATCTTTTAAGCTCATCAGAACTTTTCACTGAGTGGATGTTAAAATTAGGGTATTAAATTAGGATATTAAAATTAGGATGTTAAAATGTTTGCACTGTCTCTAATGATTATGCCATAATCTGAGCCATGCACTATGTAATTTAAAATACACAACTGAAAAATTACCTGCAGGGAAAAATTATGAAGTTTAATGTATTTTTATGGTGTAGTTTCTAGGTGTGGCTATAATGTAAGTTTTTGGAGTGGAAGGGGTTCATGTCATGGGTCAGGTAGTCTACAAGAAATAAAGTAAGTGGCTGCACTACCAAGAACTTGGAACAAATTAATATGTTTCGTGAAATTGTGAAGAGGAAATCCTCCCCCACCATACTGTCTTCTTCTTTGCCTCAAACAAGGCAAAAGGTTAAAATTTACAGTTAGAATGGGCTCACCCAAAAAACTGAAATGTGGCAGGAAGAGTTAACATTCCCTGAACTTAATTGAAAGATCTCCTTAATCAAATAACAAAAGGTCTCTTCCCCAAGAGATTGGCATTCCAATCAAGCAGCACTAGGCAGGCAAACACCTCAACTCATCAGGATGTCAAATTGCAGGAAACCAGAGCTCATCAGGGGCCTGACTTCAGAGCACTCCCTCTGGGATCTCGGGCTAAAGTGCAATTTCTGAGAATTCCTAGAGGGCAGCCATACTTTCACCAGCTTCCAAAAGAACAAGGCAGGGCTTCTCTATATAGAGGGCTCCCAGGGAAATCAAAGGTGCGGCCATCTTCGGAGAGCTGATTCTGTGTGAGGTGCTCTCAGAAAATGAACCTCTGATTTAGGCAACTTTCTGTGCATTTTTATTCCCGTCTCGGAAACAAACTTGGTAAAATTTCTTTCCAACAGCTTATTTGTTGTTAGATTTTGTTTGTTCTGTTTTGTTTCAGCTGGAATGTCACCAGCCATTATTGCTTCAGCCCTGCCTTATATCCTAATAGCAGAGGTGTGGTCCAATAAACCAAGGTTCACCAGCCTTTGAGTGGCATGCCAGAAATCTCTTTGCAAAAGGAGGCAGGGTCATATAGAATAATTGAATCATAGGAGGTCTTTTGCTGCAACCCACTGCCCTGTGGGGGAATATTTACATAATTTATATAATACATAAAAATATTTCAAATGTAGGTGAGGACTACATTACTACAAGATTAGTAGTGCATTAATTGAATTTTAATATCACTTTTAATTACTGTAATTATTTAACTTTTTTCTTTTGATAAAGATATACAGCAATAGTGCCCTTCCCCTCACATCAATTCCCAGGTTTAATACAAATAGTATGTGAACACAATAACAGCAACTCTCATTTTCTTATTCTCCCATGCAGCACACATACATGTGCAGAGGAGACAGCAGGATTAGGCAAAGAGACGTGGCATGGGAGAATTTGTTGGTGAGTACCAACGGGGGCCTACCCGCACAGGTGAGTTACACTCAATCTACTGGAAATGCAGAAATGAAAACACAGATGAGTTTCACTGACCTGCAGGTGACTTGCTTATTTGGACATCTGTGTCATATAGATTGGCTCTCATCAACATTATTTTGGCCTCTTGTATGCTTCAGAATACTCTGTACATTCACCTACATGACTTTTACTGTATGCGAAGTATGCTCAGGACAAGAAGCATATGGCTGGCTTAATTAAAATGTATATTCCTCCCCACTCTTGCTTTCCAAATTCTTTAACAGTATATTAATATAGATCCTTTGTCTTGTTGGAAATGACTGATGCTTGTGGATATTGGGCAAATACCTCTGATGTTTGCTGCAACACACATGAGTAGATGACAAGCAGCAGCAAGTGATGCAAACCAGTAATCACCAGGGCACAGAGGCAGCTTATCAAAACAAACCCAGAAACTGCACCCTATAAACAATTCCACTTCTTCAAGTTTAAAATGATAAAGAGCTGGGCTTTATTGCACAGTGACAGCTACCATGTTGACTTTTTAGACCTCCCCTGCAAACACCAAGGTAAACTGTAATATGAAGGTTTATTTTCTGATGGTGTTCTAAAAGCCTTATCTCTCAGTCTCAGAAAAGATGTAAAGGGAAGAGGGAGGGACAGAAGGACCAGCTGCTACCAAGGCAATTATCAGATAAAAGAGACCTGAGTCCAGGGCAGGAATGTAACCTGTGTAGGTGTTAAAAGCCCCTTCCTAGTTCTCACAAAAATAGAGAGGAAGGGGGAAAACATATTCAGACTTGCAAGGTTCTGTTACTGTAATGATGTGTGGAAATGACCCTGGGAGACAGGCCAAAGAGACGCAACCAAGGGAATGGTCAGATAAAAGGCAGCTGAGCCCGCAGCAGGAATGTGGGTGGGGCAAGAGGCTCAGAAGGGGCCCTCCCAGTTTCTTGGGCTGTAAAGGAGACTGGGAGAGATGTAGTTTTATCTTTGTAAGATTCTGTTAAGGTAGCTTTACCATAAAGTAGAATTAGCTCATCTGGTTACATTTCCTGTCTGGTCTACCTCATAAGGCTGACATCCATCTTGCAAGTCCAAAACTACATCTCTTCCCCCCGCCCCCCCACCTTTACAGTCCAAGAAGTGGTTGTCATGTAAGCCAAGACTCCAGAGAGCGGGGTCCTTAAGTGGGAAGCAGAGAGAGTCCCAGGTAAGGAGCATGGGGGTGGGGGAGGCCCTGAGTGGCCTGGTGCAGACCACACCTGAGTTGGGGGAGGGGGTGCTCAGAATGGCTGAGGAAAGAGGGCGCAGGGTGTGTGCAATCACAGAGGGACTGTGGAAAGAGGGCATGGGGTGTGTGCGTGTGTGCAATTGCAGGGAGGCCATGGAAAGAAGGTGTGGGGGTGCAATCGCAGGGAGGCCGTGGAAAGAGGTGCACGCAAAGAGGTGCATGCCCATTGACTTTGCTTGGGGGAACCCAGCAGGGAAGTTGCAAATGGTGATCATGTGATTGTGGGGCACTTGGCCAAGCACCCAGACTGCAATCACATGACTGCAGGGATGCTGGGACCGCTGCAACATTGAGGACTGGTCCTAAGTCTTCTTTTTCAGCTCAAGGACTACCTGTACCAAGATGGCAGTGATTGGCTTGTGGATGATCTCTGGAGGGCTCAGAATGGGGGTGATGCCTCTGTCCTGGCTTTCTTGTATCTCTCGGTGGCTTTCAATACCATCAACTATAGTATCCTTTGGACTAGCTTTAGGTGTTGGGAGTACGGGTCACTGTTTTGCAGTGGTTCTTCTCCTCCCTCTGTGGCCAGTTCCAGTTGATGTTGAGGTGTGTAGACAGCAAGAAAGATGACTTTGATAGAAATATGCAGAAACCGCTACCTAGGCAAAAGGGGCTGAAACATTTTTTAAGTCCAGAGCAACGAAATAACATTTGGAAGCGTCTCAGGTAGACACCTCCTTATTTCACTGGAGGGTAAGGAGGGAGGTACAGCACAATCAGATATGAAAGACTCTGTTACTGTAGCCAATCTCAACAGAAGTAGTTTTAGCCTTCCTATGGAGTTGATTTCTTGGTCTGGTCTACCTAGTGGGGCTGCAGGGGGAGAGAACCAGCCCTTGCCTGTCTTGTGTTGGATGCCTCAGAGTTCAGGTCTCTCACTGCTCCTTTTTAAAATCTACATGAAACTACTGGGCGAGGTCATTTGGGGGCACAGGGGGTAGTATCGTCAGTACACAGATGATACTCAGTTATACATTTTCATCCCTGGCTGATCAGGCATTGCTATTCGGGTGCTTAGCTGGTGCCTGGAAGCTGAGGTCTGGAACTGCTTCCAACTGAATCCCAGCAAGATAAAGTGGATCTGGATTTTTGACCCCATTGCCCCCGAGACCCAGAGAGGTGTTATCTTTGATTCTCAAAGGAGTAGCATTCCCTCAGACATAGTTGGTGTGCAATTTGTGGGTACTCCTGGACTCACAGCTCCTGTTTGAGGAGCAAGTGGCAGCCATGGCTGGGGGGGCCTTTGTACAAATTCATCTTGTGCAACCAGTTGTACCCATTCCTGGACCAGGAGGTCCTACTCATGGTCACTCATGCCTTGGTCACTTCCTGATTGGATTACTGCAATGCATTTTGCATGGGGCTCCCCTTGAAGTTACAACTGGTCCAGAATGCAGTGATGCACACAGCTCTGGGTGCCCCACAGTTTGCCTGTATTACACCACTGCTGCCTGAGCTGCACTGGCTTCCAGTTTCTTTCTGAGTGCAATTCAAGGTGCTGGTTATCACCTTTAAAGCCCTAAATTGCACAGGGCCAGGTTATTTGTGGGACTGCCTCACCCTGAGAGTATCTGACCATCCCACCAGCTTAGAGTGGGTGTGCTCTAGGTCCCTTCCTTTAAAAGTTATAATCTAGAAGGACTTCAGAAACATGTGTTCTCTGTAGCTGCCCTGGCCCTCTGGAACAATCTCCCCCTTGAAATCCAGAGGCCCCCCACCCTTTTAGCCATCCAGAAGGCTGTGAAGAGCTGACTGTTCCCTAAGTATTGTGCTAGGGTGAGAATGGAGCCCAGCAAATGTATGATGGGAATGTTGTTCCCACCTAGGCACCCTAAGGTGTTGTTTTTGATATTTTGTACTACTGCTTTGTTTTTATTGTTGTTTCTGTGAGCCTCCCAGGGTTACCGTATAGGAGATGGATGGCCATATAAGTCCATTGCATAAACTAAAAAATAAATAAATATTTTATGGGTAAGTCACTTACCCAATGAGCTGGTGCCAGACTAGTAAATTGAAGTGTTATAGTATTAGAAACTCTCTTGGCTATTATCCTCCTCCACCTCTGCAATTTTTACTTCCTGTATTTTTTTTAACAGTTAAGAACAATTATTTTTAATGATGGTCCAATTGATTGTTGAGCTAGAGTGGACAGCTTCCCCATCCTCTTTCTGTTCCCATTTGCAGATATACTGTATATTTGTGAGAAGCCAGGGTAAAGAACAGAGAAAACAGGATAATGCAGCTAGAGATGCTTCACCTAGCAGTTACGTTAGCCTCCCAAATCATCTCTGAGCAGAGATTTCTGTAACCTGGCTTAGCATGTTTGATTAACTTCAGGTAAAAACAAGTTCTTACAAGGAGTTACAAGGATTCACATTTTGGAATTTTGAGTGTATTTCTGAAAATCTTTGACAAGCAGAGAACCTGAATGATTGAGATTAGTAATGCAGTCCAATACTGTGGATCAGTACCAGGTCTGCCATCAGTTTTTTTTTCCGGGATCTAGACTTCTTTAGATGATGCTGAATTTCCACCTAGAAATTTTTAGTCAGCGCTGTTGCTCCTCAAGACTAATGATATGACATTCCAAAGAATAATGCAGTGTGAATATAGATTGGCCACAAAATATATCCGGAGCACTTAAATCTAAGAGACATTTCTCTCAATATTAATTAACCCAATAATTATAGCAGCCTCTCCCAATACACGGCCCTATATGCTGGAGAGGGTAGAAGAACAGCATTAGGCAGGGCTTAATGAGAGGAGGATGTGTGGGTTTTATTGATGTGCATGAATCACATTCTTACTAAATCATTCTCATCTGGATCCTCTTCCATGAGGAACTGAATCATCCTTGACACCTTAAAAGATGTGAAAAACAAAAAATATGTACACACCCTAGGTGCTCTATATGCACTAACACAAGACTGGCATACAAAATTAAGAAATATAGAACTGATGGACCTGTTTTTTTTCAAAAAGGTATTAAGACCAAAGGAACTGCATCAGAAGTAAAACAAAACCAAATGAATTGAGCTGAAGATCATTCCTCAAAGTCAGTCTGTGACATAATGGAGAGACATTAGACAGAACAAGCAGCCCCATTTGCTGTCTCTGGAGTCTTCAAGATGCACTTTTATAATTAACAGTGAAATCCCAATTATTTTCAGTGGAAACAAAAGAATGAAGATATCCTGAGCCTCCAATAAAGTTAATGCACCTAAAAATATATTTTAATCTCTAGAAGTAAGAAATATATATCTTAGAAGATGTGGTGTTCCATAGCTCTTCGCTCCCACAGGTTTTGGAAGGTGTGATGTTGCTATCATTGGTGATGGCTGTTGCTTAGCCCTCTTCTATTCATTCCCTCATACCTTCCACAACTGTTTTGTACAATCACACATTTTATTTATTTTACACTGGGATTCTTGCACTACTGAAACCTCCCTTTGAAACTTTGCTTATTTTTCAGTGTTTGCTTTCACAGTGGAAGGAAGAAACATTTTCCTATATATGTATGAAGGCAAATTAACATTCTTTATAGAAAAATAATTGTATACACATTTAACAAAATTGAACGTGAGGAAGAAAAACAGGTCTTGAAGCAATCATCAATCTTCTAGAAATCATTGTTCCCTTCAGTCCCTTAAGATGACCTCATGTATTATTAAAGATTTAATTGTAAATAGTAGTATCTCACATTGTTAGAAAACATAGGAATGCTGTTAATAACTTTTCTTTCATTTTAAAAAAGCAAAGGAACATTTGTAGTAACATATGGTACAGGACAAGGATTCTCAGCTTGTTTTGTCTAAGGCCACACTTTATTTTTTATTACTTTTTTATTATTACTTTTTAATTATTTTTTATTTTATTACCTCTAAGAGTCACAGAGGATGTGATGATAACATGGTGACATCATTGCAAGGGCCAAATTTTTACAGAGTTTGGGGTTAATGCAAAATAGGCATGTTAGACCTCTGGGAGACTTAACACATGTATTTTACTGGGGTTTTTTGAGAAAGGAAGCTAGGTTGCTAAGAATTGCCATTTTACCACCAACTGTTACCATAAGACAGGGCTCTGAGGACTTCTGAAATGGGTCTGGGGATCTTCATGTATCTTGCAGGCTGTGGGTTACGCCCATTCTACAACAGCTTAGTAAGCAATGGATCCAGCAGTATTTTTTTCACCAAGTATTTTTAGTGATTAAAATAAGCTATTGTACCTGATTATTATATTCTTAGCTTTGTTGAACACTGTGCCCACACAGCACCCAACAAGACTGTTGACCTACTTAAATACTAATTGTTATCTTTAAGGTATGTCTTGTTTTCCTTCACTGATGGCTTGCATGTTACCTGTTGAAATTTAATCAACTAGATGTGGCATTCATATTACATAACTAATTATACAAGCATAGAAATGAGAGCTGCACTGCTTAAAAGACAAAGTAAAACATTCAGTTACCATTTCTAGTTATATTTTCCAGTTGTAATTCATTTACTTTGATATGACTAAGGGCACATCCTTGGAGCCACTATGACGGGCTTCACCCTACTACTAGCATAGCACTATCCAAATTAATGTACCTGTCTTGTGGAACTGGCCAACTCTCCTTCCAGCCAGCCAGTGAATCTGCACAAAAATGGCAGCCAGTTGGTGCTCTGCCCTCATTTTTTCTTTAGCTTCCTTGCTTTTTGGGGGAGGAATAAAACAATGGGGAGGAAAATCTCAACAAGGCATTGTGCAGGGCCACAGCAGAGCTCCCTATCAGAGTAACCAGAAAGGACAAAGAAATGGTGGAAAGGTATTGTTTGCACAAAGGAGTGGGAGTCCAGGAGCAAGGAATTTCGACCTGTAGAAAAATGCCCATCTCTTAACTCCAAAGGAAACCCCTGCAAACTGTGGAGAGAAAGCTGAGCCAATAGGTAACTAGCTTAGCTTTCCAACGTGGCACCAAGGGGGAATTGCCAGTCTCACATCACAACCCCTTCGTGTGAAAGTATATGAGTGTATAGCACAAAATATTTCAGATAAAGAGATGCACACTTGCACACAATTAGCAGCTCGTTGCCATTATAGTGAAGAAAGTTAATAAAATGTTCACACACAGCATTTCACGCTGATTCACTGTGTTTCAGCTAAGACAGGGTTCCCCAATCTGGTATCCTCTAGGACTGTATCTCCCAGAATATGCTAGATTCAAAATTGTTTTGCTTTTGTACTTAATTAATAAGAGCATAGTGGAGCAGCCAATAAATCTAAAATAATAATAATAATAATTCTATTCTGTTATTATTTATTGTGGGAATTGAATATGTAGGAACTGAAATTTTCTTATTTTTTTTTAATAGACATTGTGAACCTTTGATGAGAACAGCCAATATCCAGTATCTACTTTGCTGAATTCACATATTGTACTAAATCTTAAAGTGGCTTTTTGATGTTGTCTTAGCATGTTGTATGAAACCAGCCATTGTAGATTATAAACCACAATTGTTCTACTTGTCAATCAGATCCCTTGATCCGGCACATCTTAAAGAATTAGTAGCCAGGAAGCCACAAAATAATATATATAAAACATATTCAGTGTACGCTTCTTCCTTATACAAGTTCCTTCCCATTTGTTGCAATGGAAGGGAAATTATGTTAACATGAGGCCTGATACAGTACACATTTTCCCAGTTCTTGCAGCACATTAGAGTGTTAGAAGGGTCCTATAGATCCAAGCCTTCCATTGACATCCCAGAAAAACACCTATCCTGTTTTTACTAATGGAGCTCCAGAATCAGATGGCTAAGGCTAGAGTTTGCTGCTGGAGTTAGATTTCTGTCTCTAAGGGTGTATCCCTTTCTTGCCCTCTTTCTATTTGCAGTTTGTGCCCTGACAACCTAACTTTTCCCTCTTGATCACATGAATTCCCTAGTGACATGTATCATCAAAGATGTGTTTGGAGAGTGTTGAGAGACACGGGCAACCCCTCTGCCCTCTGGTCAACCTGTACTACAGCCATTTTTATTCCTACATTTGTGCCCTTTCCTTTGCACTTTGGTTTCTGAATTCCTTTCAAACTGGTCACCTTGCTCCTGTTTTGGACACCAACTTTTATCCAGGCTCCAGAAAGACAGCGAAGAGAGCAGATATCTGCTATTATAAATAAAATGTTTTGTATGGGGGAAGAAGGAATATTAGTACCATCCCATATTAACAGTACTGTATTCTGACATGCTGTCATTGGAGATCTTTACCTTGAGATGTAGCAGGCTTGCTAGCTCTCACTGCAGTTCTATAAAGTTAGGGATGTTAATTTCTACCCCTCCCCTCCCTCTTTATGAAGTAAGAATAGCACAGCAGCTGCTCAGCTTCAGTTTTCCTTCTCTCCAGGACCTCACCAGTTGCATAATCATGGCAGAGGTATGACTATTTCTAGCCTACTGTCTTCCCATAGGTTTACTTCTTATTATTTGAGGTTGAGAAATGCCAAATGGGGCATGAGAGGACAGGCAAACAAACCAGCCTAGAGAAACCAAGCCAGAACCACCCCATTCACGCTGCAGCGCCCTGCTCCGTTTCTAGTGATACGTTAAGATGGATTAAAGCAATCTGAGGGGAAAAATCCAAATATCTTGCCTATTACAGCTAGCACACTTCCAGTCATCTTCACTCAGCAGTGACTTGGAACAAACACAACAGAGGCAAAGTAGAGATTAGCAGTGGATACAACAAATTTTATGCTGGAATTGTTCCGTGCCAACTCAAGGAGGGGTGGATGATGCTTTAATTCACTAGTGGGGAAAGGCCCTTTTTGGAGAGAGAGATCCAAAATATCCTAAGGCTTCTGAGATGCTCCCCTGGAGACTGCATCATGGCAGCCTAAAACTTCTTGAACCATCTGTGCTCACAAGATTCAATTTGTTAATAAAATAATTCCTAATTACTTGTATAAAGTTAAAAAAAAGTTTTAAGGCTGCGTTAAAAACATTTCTATTGCTTTTGTAGGATTCTTGATTCTTCCACAGATTGTCTTGTGAAGACATCTTTAACTCTTCATGAAACATTGCCTGTACAGTCAGTTGTTTGGGCTTCGATTGTGCTTTGAATATTCATCCATGCTTAAATCAAATTCTGTAAAAAAACCCTTAAAATTCAGGACTGGATTCTAGAGACAAGTGTTTGGCATGTTTTGGAAGCATATCATTTGATTAGAGTTGGATTTCTGATTCACTCCAGTTCTCATTATATGAATAATAATATATTTTGGAGACTATATAAACTTATGTATATAATTGTTTCTATTAGTTTTCTACAAAAGTGAACATGAAACTGCCTAAGCTCACATCTTTCAGGCCAGCTGTGCACATTTCAAAGCCAAACATTTAGTAATCATCATCTGAAATTGCAAACCTGTGAAGTTTATGCTCAGTAGCAGCTTTCATCCCATCTTCTAAGTTATTACAGTATTTATTTTCCAGGAACTGTGTCCTTATCATTTATTGCATCAGCCCTATGCAAGCCCACTGAAATCTTTAAGTTCGCTGTATTATGCACTGGACTGTTTGAAGGATTCAAGAGAAAGGGGTAGCAGCTCAAAAAACAGTTAACTGCCAGCCCCCATCTGGAGCCCACCAGGCGGGTTGAATTAAATCCCTCCCCATCCTCATCTGTTGTAGTTCAGCAGATCTGGAGAAAACGGCTGGGAAATCCTAGTAGGCTACTGCCTCTGCCACCAGCGGCCACGGCCCTGCAAAAGAGCTAATCCTCTTCCAAAATTAAGGGAACGTGGGGTTAGGGTTGGAATCGGGCCCCCGAGCTGTTAACACTCCTAAATCGGGACGGGTGTCAACGGGGCCCGTCTCTAGATAGCTGCGCCTCAAGCAGCCCTGCAGAAGTAACCTGATCGCTCGTGCCTCGCAGCGTCCTCGCCTTTTGTGTTTCGCGGGCACAAGGTGCCAGGGTGGTTTGGGGCGTGTGTGTCTTTTACGCTGTTTACTCGGAAGTAAATCAAGTCACTGGGACTCTTAAGTAAGTGTGCAAAGGGCGTCTGTCTTCGTTGCAGGGCATTCTCAATAACGGGATCGCGCGCTCGCTCTCCCTCTTACACACACACGCACACACTCCCCGGAGAAAGGATACAGTCCAGAGGCCTTTGCTCCTTAACTGCAGCTGCAACAGGCACTGCCCGGGCACTGCCAGCGGCGCCCCTTCGGCTGCAGCTGCCTCTCGCTGCTCCTTTCCGCGCCTCGCGCCCGCTTCCCCCAGCCGGCTCCCTTTCCTCCCCGCGGGAGGAGCGCTCCTCGGCGTCAGGTAGGATCCTCCGAGCGCCTCCAGGTCTCCGTCGGGGAGAGAAAATGGCGCCTCCGCCGACCAGAGAACTGCTGGGCGCCTTTTCTGCTAAGGGAGGGGCGGCCGGGGAAG